TGCTTTTTTCCTCTAAAACCATTTCTACAAAGGTCTGTTGCCAAGGAGGAACCCATGGGCTGTGGATTTTTCAAATAGCAAAAACTAACATTCAATTTGATAGATTTTTATAGGCGTTTTGTATCTGTACTCTACATATATCGAGACTTTTCGGATTCTAATCATAATTTTAAGACTTGTAGTGATTCTGCTTAAATCTCTCTGTATATATCAGAGGTGTCGACAGGGCATAACCGTTGAACCCTGCTATTCATATACATTATCCTATGATTTCAACCTACCCAACTATTGTGTTCGTGAGATTATTAGCGTTACTCTTTTCCATTTGATCAATTTTATCCGTATGTCAGCAAAGAATATGCGTTAAAGTCGTCTAAAATAAATATGAAGAACAATCAGCAAACATCTGTGCAAAACGGTCACTCTAAATCGAATGCTTGTAGAAAATGTGTGTGGCAGACATCCATTATGATACAACTACAATACTCTCAAGCCGAAAATGACTAGGCAAAATCGGACATCTAGAGTGTGTTTCACCATTCTATGACAGTAGTGTTTGAAGGACTGCAATCTTGCAGATGTATAGTATTGGTCGAACTATCCAAAGCATTTCTATATACTCTTTATATACAAATAGCAGACGTAATTTATATATGCTAGGTTGAGTAAAAAGCTCACGGTTATTCTCAAAAATTTAATTTTTTAAAGTTTACTTATGAAGTTCCCTCGACTGAAAGGAGGATCATATGGAAAAAAATAGTTTGTATGTTTGTTTATGACTGTCAGGGTCAAAGATCAAAAGTGAAAAAAACATTTTTTTTGAAAATGATCAAAACTTCATAAAACATGGGTTGGGGTGGGTGTTGAGGTTAGGTGAGGATCGAATGGGGGTTTAGGGCCCAAGATCAATATTCACAGAAACTTTACGAATAGCGTGCGGAGATAGCTGAGACCGATCAGGTATCACACGATGTAAGGCTGCGAAATTAGATGTCTAGGATACATGAATCAGGCATAGAATATCTTAAATGCTTCTGTTGTATGATCCTATCGATAAGGGCTAGGATTGATTTCCTCTTGTAACGTCTAGAAAACGAAAGACAAGCTCCAGCCGACAGTTTTCTTTATATAGATTTTGTTGAGGTAATTATATTGTGTGTGAAGTGTCGGAGAGGAAGCTGTATATGCTATGAACAATATCGGGCAATCGGGAGTGGTGAACTGAAGGGACGCCAACGACTGACTGCGAGATAAGTGGGTTGATACATCTCTTGGAGAAGTTCTTATGACAAGGGTAGAATAAAAAGAAAATTAGTCCAAGGTACAGCGAGTCTGCCTCGACGAGCGTTAGTTGTTTTTTTGTGTTATTATTTTTAAAAACTGTATATCTCCCATGTGCTAACTATTCTTCTATAAACTTTGTACTACGTGTTTTAAAAGTGAAACACAAAAAACGTTAAAAGTATCCTTAAAAAATAAAAAATTTTGCGAATGGTCGCGAACTATTTGCTCAACCGAATACGTGCAATTATGACCGTATCGATAAACAATATTTAAACTCTGCCAAAACGTGCATACATTATTTGCTAGAAGAAAAAGAGTAATTGCACAGTATAGAACACACAGAATATGCATAAAATTGATTCATTCACTTCATTAAAAAGGTGCGTATGTCGTTATTATTCGATCTATACACAACGGTGCGACCTTAATGAAGCATATATAACGTCTGTGTGAAAAAACGAAGAGGAAGCGAACATTGAAGACATCTTCAAGCGTTCATTTCTTGGCCGAGTACATCCTGTTAACGTTTTCATTTTTCTCAGCTACTAGATAACCTAACTAGTTCGCATTTTCGTTAAAACATGTGTGAATGCATTCCTTTCAATACGTGAAAATATGAGCCCTCTTGAACTGGTTTTGACAACCATAGAACAAGTTTATGATGGAAGCAATCAAGACAGCAGCACAAAGTGTCAGGGATTGCAGGGTACTTGGTCTCTTTCTTGTAGGGAAGAGTTTAGCTAACGTAATTTGTCTGCTTGCTTGAATGTCCATACTTCACTGATTGGTCGGATTTCAACATGAGAAGTCATGTGCCGACAAAGCGAACTTCGAGGCAAATTTTTTTCTGTCGCTTTTTTACGTCATTGGATAGAGTTTTGTCTGCAGATCACCAATATCTACTTTTTTCCTTAGCGAATTCTTTTTTCCGATCAAAAATTACGAAATACTGAGGTCATGTCACTTTTCGAGAAAAGTCGGTCTTTTCACAAAATACGCAAAACTTTTGACTTTGCTCCATGTTTTTAATCTTGAAGATATCTTCTTTTTCTGATTCAGCATGACAAACTGAGTCTGAAAAACTTTTCAGTTCAACTCTAGATTGAAAACTGCTACTGGCGACGTCTCGAATTTTGTTGAGCGCATCATTTACAAGTGGATTTTGCAAACTTATCTACTTTCTCTACGCTAATGATAAAGCTAAATATTTTATCTCATTCGACTCGCCATACCACCGCTTACAAAGTGACAGCGTTTTTGGTTCTTTGCTTTCCTACATTGAGAAAAATCGTTTTTATTATTAAGACCAAACGAACCGGCACATGATGTACGAATAAAATTACTATTTTTGCATCAAATGGTGTGGAAATCTGATCACATAGCTAAAATCTCATCGCGAATCTGATGAATGGGTTTGGGATCTCTGGAAACCCACATGAGGGAAAATCATAGTTTTAATAGTTTAAGCGATAATTTTTAGTCTTTAATAGATAAAATGATATCGTACTATGTTTAGTTGTATAATATGAAGAAAAAAACACCGGCTAAACGGATTAATCAAAAACATCAAAACTATCGAAGATGGAAGAAGACTGGAAACGAAGTAGACAAACATCAGTACTACAATGCCAAAGTCTTACTTACAAATTCACTTCGAGATAACAGAAGAAACAACTTCAAGAAGTTAATGTCTTCGTTATGTCATAAGAAAATGTCTTCCGACAAAGTTTGGCTGACGGTACGCAAGTTCCACAACAAACGGATCAAGCAAACCTTTACCAGCATCATGAAACACAACAACATGACAGCAACGTCAGAAAAGGAGAAAGCAGACCTATTTGCAGATTACTTCGAAAATGAAGTCTACTCTCTTACTGCTGATACACTGCCATTTCATGATCAAGTAACAAGTCAAGCAAACAAAGTCAAGAATGGTAATATAACCTTAACAAACACAGTCAAGTGGAAGTTAATCAAAGTATATAGAAGAAGGCAAGATTCATATAAGACAACTTCGAAATAGCTTCACTGGTCCAGACAACATCCATAACAGATGTTTAAAGAATCATTCCAAATTGCTTGTTCAGCATCTAACAAGTTTGTTCAATACAATTTAGAAACAAGGTTATATACCAGCAATGTGGGAAAAGGCCAATATTATTCTTCTATTAAAGCCGAAGAAAGACAAACAACACCCGTCTAGCTATAGGCCGATTAGTCTCCTTAGTTGCTTAGGCAAACTATTGGAGAAAATCATCAAACAACGATTAATGCTCGAACTTGAACGACACAACATCTTACCACAACATCAAGCTGGATTCAGACCAGGAAAAAGCACTATATACAACATCGTGCGATTGAAATCGAAAACATATTATCACGTCCATTTAGTCTGAAGAGCGATACGCCGCAAAGATCGCCGTTATCACCACTACTTTACATCATGTACACGGCAGATTCGATGAATGGAATACCGACTCATACAGAACATGGGTTATTCGCCGATGATACTGCATTATGGACATCTGGCAACATCTTAACGTCGCTTAGATCCAGATTACAAGAATCCATAAATGCATTCGAAAGTTGGTGCAAGTCATAGAAATTAACACTGCAACCAACAAAAACAGAGTTGATTCATTACAACCTACATCTAAGGAAGAAGTATAAAAATCCAGTGGTAGTCAAAGTCGAAAACAGCCTCATCAAACCACTAGATTCTACACGATACTTGGGTGTAATTATAAACAACAGACTAAAATGGCGAACACATCTCGAGCATATCGAAACGAAGATTGCTCCTCGAATCGGACTTCTTCGATATCTGGCGAGATCAGCACAACAACCAAACAACAAGACGATGATAAATGTTTTCAAGTCAATTGTACGCACAGTCATCATATACGGTTATCCTGTCCTTCTTACAGCCGATCAAAAAATATGGGACCGCTTACAAATCATGTAGAACAAAGCAATCAGTGCTGCATTAGGTCTACCCATATATACATCGGTCAAATATATCCATCAAATCAGCAACATTCCAAAAAACAAGGATTATGCAGTAGGACTACTTAGACAAGCAATTCAAGCAGCGACAAACAACAGCGACATCACACTTAAAATCATCTAGTACATATACTAGAAAAGATTTAAAAGAAGTCACCAACTTCGTATTATATACACTCTAAAAAAATTTAGTGCTCTACTGAACCCTCAAAAAAAGTTCCGTGGTTACGAAAAAGTCTTCAGACAGGTTCACGATTACAAAAACGCAATAAAAATTTCTACAGAACCGTTAAAGGATCTTCCCGTGTATCGAAGGGAAGAACCTTCTACTGCTAAACCTTTTTCTAAGTTCAGCATACCGAAAACAGGTTCCGTAGCATAATACCAAACTTTCAGAGTTCTTTAGGAAAATATAATAGTTTCGTACCGAACCTTAATGTCCTTGTATAGTTTGATATGAAACCCCACAAGTTTTGCATTTTGCTATGGAACCTGTTTTTGGTATGCTGAACTTAGAAAAAGGTTTAGCAGTAGAAGGTTCTTCCCTCCGATACACCGGAAGATCCTTTAATGGTTCCGTAGAAATTTTTATTGCGTTTGTTGTAATCGTGAATCTGTCTGGAGACTTTTTCGTAACCACGGAACTTTTTTTGAAGGTTCAGTGGAGCACTAATTTTTTTTAGAGTGCGTGTCACGATGAAAGGGTGGGTGAACTACGTTTCGTGCCACTCATTCCGAACACCCGCACCCTCACTTACGGACGCCCTGCATTTTTATTTCTGCCAGGAGTTCGGAAAAATAAAGCCGTACGAAACGCAATTTTCCCTTCGAAAGGTAGCTTTGAACGATATATTCTGTAGTGACTGAATACGGAGCCTGTAGGGGGATAACTATAAAGGAGTCTGTGACTAACCCAAGAGAACAACTAATGCAACGAAGATTTCGCAGCTATGGATTTTTACGAAACGTTTTTTAATATAGTTACAGATGGTTCCGTACGTACCTATGATACGGAACCTTCATTTTACTTAACCAAAAAAGTACCGTCCCGTGTATCGGAGGGAAGATCCTTTGTTGGTTTGGTAAAGCTCCTTTTTTTTACAGTGAACATTACAACCATACACGACATGTCAAATGTGCCACGAAGCATACACAAAAGTCAAAAATAGAGAACATCAAACATTAATCTTAGTCTGCACTTAGTCAATGTCACTTTTCAGGCATCCTCACCCTCATCTACATCCTTCAGCCCATCAACTTCAATACCACGAGACCACTCGCTATTACATCCAGAGATAGGCAACTCCACGAAAAAGCAACTCTAACTCCAATTTATGAATCCAACTCGAACAAACACTCAACTACAAAAGAATATTTTTCACATTAATCCGAATTTACTGCGAACACCAGCAATAATCATCACTTACTCGTAGTTTTATTTCTTTGTCTTTCTCAAATTCCCATGTATTTAATAGGTTTAACTCAATGATTAGGATTGCATTCGACACATGTGATTTTGGCTAATGAATCTTTTGATATCTCTATTTCTCGTTTTCAGTGCATTTAGCTACGGCAATACATCCGATTATTCGTCGTTCTTTTATTACTCCTAAGATCACTTGCAGTTGCATAAAAGTTGGAACACTCTAGCCATTCCAGCCCCACATCAGCTTCATATATCATTAAAAACAAATCATCAAGAACTGAACAGCAAACCCACATGAAATCCTCAACTCAGGACAAAGAGCCGCCGATCACCCCTCCAATCACTCACGTGCACACATCCACCAATGTGTTCACCCTCACCCCCACCCACATTGATCCATCTGCCCATAATATCACCCTAGACCCCTACCCACTTTCAAAGAAACACCCATGATTTCTCCCAACATTCCCACCCTCACACCCTCAGAAAAAATGTGCTTTTTTTAAATTTGACCTTTGACCATTGACCCTGACACAAACAAATAGACAAGCTTTTTTTTTCATATGACCCTCCTTACAGTCGAGGGAATTTAGTTTATTGTTGATTGATTAGATCGATTGGTGAACAAGCAAAGGTTGAGATTAGCAAATTAATCTATATTATCTTCATTACATACATTAATTTGTTTCTCTATTTGTTTATACCCTCAAGATGGTGCCCCAAAATTTAGAAAGTTTATGATTGATTTTCGAGGATCTTTTTAATCTTTGCAAATTAATTTTGATTTTCTCTTACAATTATGCAGATTATTCTACCGCCTGATAATTCATCATTTAATCGTGATGAAAATCGATTTGTGGTATTTAATTCTTCAAACGCACCCACCCTTCAGTTTTTTGGGGTGAAACATGGTAGAGATACAATGTAATTTGTTATATGCATTGACTAGTTGTGCAAGTCAATGTTTTTTTTTAATATTTTTCGCTCGATGTGAAAAACTCAAGCGATGTGTAAATACATGCTTCAAAAGAAGGACAGAACGAACAACGGTGTGTTCCTTATCTGCATTGTTTTTTAAAGAACGTGTAAAAATAAAACATGCCTACTTCTAATGTATTTTGCTCCCCATTTACAAGTAAGAAAAGAATCATGTCTCGGAAGCCGAGCCATGCATTCATTTTCGAAGTAAAACGCTCTCCGACGAGCTCATTTTTTTCGGAAGACATTCGATTAGACTATAACTACAAGCAATTATTCAAACCGCCGATATTCAGTCAGATTTTTCAAAACATATAGAGGACTTTTATATATTAGAAAAGTAAGTACATTATAGAATCGTCTAGTGGATTTCCGACACTCCGTTTTCGCGAGAACTCCGCAAGAACAAATCTTCTCGCTACGAAGCTATGTGTATCGCACCAATTCGTCGATCTCTCGCTGGAACTTGAAAATGATGGACTCAATCCATTGCACGATTCTAGATTCATAGAAAAGGTTTCAATGACCTTTATACGTAGGGTATCCTGGCTCCGCATTCGACTTTTTCCGGAACTGATTCGCATGAGAGTGCGCTCCGACTCAGATCATACTATCCTTCTCTTTTACTGCGACCCGTAATTGCGGAAAATCGTGACACAACTGCTTAGAACTGCAAATTTTTCACCGCAGTTGTACAAAGCTGCGGCGCAGTTACGAGACAAAACGAAAATGCGTGGAAGTGCACCGAAGCGGTTAACGAACCGGTAACATGGATAGGTCCAAGTAGAACTCGTCGTGCTCTATCAAGTCCAATCACAAAATGTTTCACCCACACCCTCACCCAGTGCATACGATTAAGGGGGGGGGGATGAGGGGGGGGGGGATGGGGGGGGGTATTTCCCCTCCCTAATTTTTTCCTATATATTGGCTTTCTCCCTGGAAATTTTAGGAACATAACTCTTTTTATCTTTTAGTGAGCGTAACTATAGTCGTATACAAATAAAGTTGTTGTATTCACTATTACAATATAGTTTCTTTTATAAACGTCGAGAGAACTGCTTGCTGCATCACCCGTCAATAATTCCTAGTAATGTGTGTTATCTCTTCGTCCAATGTTCTCTTTGCATTCAACCTCTTTTCTCTTTAGATTCGCACTCTTTTCGCTCTGAATTTAAACTCTTTTCTTTTAGAATTGACATAGCTGTTTTTATATGACTAAAAGAATTACTCTTTTGTTAATTGAAAACAGTGCGTACTATTAGGGAGGTAAAGTGGGTGGTTGTCTCCCAAAATTTTTTCTTGGATTCTTGCTTTCTCTCTAAAAACTTACATTACCTATGAGACAGGAAGAGAAAATCGGAACAAGAGGGAGAAAGTTAAAAGAGAAAACGGAAATAACAACGATAATGGACATAGATTAAAAAAACTGTTCAATGCTTTTATATGTATCCTGGACGAGCAAAAGCTCGTAATATCAAAATATATTTGAAAAAAGATGATGATAGCAGTAGTAATGAAAAGTAAATGAATATAAATCGATAGACAATACTCTGATATTTTTATGCCATTAATAATTATAGAGAAAATTACTTATTTTCATCGATTTCTATTTTCCTTAAGTTATTTGTACAATAACTGAAAGAAAACTCTTAGAAATGAGAACGCGATATTTAAAGCTTTTCATTAAAGGTACATCTGAACACAGAAAAATTAGTATAAAGACTAGTTTCTCCCTAGGTTTGAGAGACTTTCTCCCTGAATTTTTCCCCCGGCTCAGCAAAATCAAACGAAAGCTATGTAGATATATATCCTTGAAAGGTTTATTGACAAATTTCTTAAGGACAAGAGTTGATTATTATCCGAAATTTTTTCAGTGTGCCTATCTCTGATTGTGATACAGTCAGTGTTAGCGTGAAAGAGAAAATGGAGAAAAAGTAATCTCGTAAAGTTTGAACTCTCACATTCTGTTATTCGGGCACGTGTTCTAGGTCAGTTAGACTAGAAGACCTAACCTAATCTGAAGTTTATGGTTAATGATTCAGTTACAAACGCTAACAGATTCGCGATCATCGAGCTCGACTACCTACGTTTATTCATTTTCGTATGATCACCGTCAAGTTCTGAATGACTTGGGCAGATAGACAGACAAACTTTTAGCATTTTGAGCCACAGATTTAATCGCTGTATAACTCCTTTTTTAAGTAGAGGCAACATATTGTTGGAGTTGATCCCAATTCCATTATTTTCTACAAGAACTAGATGGATTTGTTAGTGATTTTTTATAATATTTGTAAATGTGAAATAATAACTACAAATTAAACACAAAGAATCGATTGTACAGAGAAAAAACATTCGGAATACAAATCTGTATAAATTATACTGCGTTGTTTTTGAAAACAACATGTCATTTCTCTTTATTTTTCTTTTTTCCTCAAGATATAATTAATAATCTTAAGAATACGAATATATGGTAGTATATAGTGAATCATTCGAAAAGGATTACTTTTTCATAAAACAATACATTAAAAAACTTAGGTTCTATTAAAGCCTAGTCGTCATTAATTGATTTCTCAATAGTTGATGCTAGATTAGAATGTCAAATATCGTCATGTAATAGCTCTTTAATAGCATATTTATTTATTTTTAATGAAGAAATATAGCATTCAGAGACTTAACCTTAGATAAATCATTTCCAGTACTATTTAAAGCAAAAAATCCATTCTCAAATGCATAGAAATCCATTGTTACTAAACAAAATGCAATACAAGCCATCGTTCGTCTGGATATTGACAGTACTTATTTTCAGCTTTGTGAATAATAAAACAATCGCAGCGAAGCTTCATAAGAATGATGATCAAACTCTCGTATTGAATTTGTTCGAAGGACAACCAACGTAAGTATTTATTTCGGAAACGAGTACATATCATAATGGGTCCAATCCATGAATAAGTCAGATTTGACTAGATACTTTTGCGCCCGTCAAATTTAATAACTTTTTCTTCTAAATTAAGGCGCAGAAATGGTGTATGTGGAACTTATGATGCATCGATTTACACCTGCTGCAATGGAGCACTCACTTTGGGAAGCGGAAAATTATGTTGTGGTACAACAGCCTACAGTTCATCACTCGGCACCTGTTGTAATGGCGTATTCACGTTAGGTCATAATCAATCGTGTTGTGGCACAACAGCTTACAACCCATCAATGTACAGTTGTTGTAATGGAGTACTCATAGCACAAAAAGGACTATCGTGTTGCGGAACAACTATCTACAATTCATCAATCTATACTTGCTGTAATAATGTATTAAGTAGTGGAAGTGCTCTAGAATGTTGTGGTACGGAAGCATACAATTCATTATACTCCACTTGCTGCAATGGTAAAGTTAATAGCGGAAGCAAGCAACAATGCTGCGGTACAGAAACGTACGATCCATCATCTTACACGTGCTGCCATGGTAAACTAAACAGAGGAGCTAAGCAGCAATGCTGTGGTATGGAAACATATGACCCGTCATACTACACTTGTTGCGATGGTACAATTAATAGTGGACAGAAACTACAATGCTGTGGAAAAGAAGGTTATGATCCTTATTATAGAACTTGTTGTAATGGTACACTCAACAACGGACAGAAACTTCATTGTTGTGGAAAAGAAGGTTATGATACTTATTATAGAACCTGCTGTGATGGTACACTCAGCAATGGACAGAAACTACAATGCTGCGGAAAAGAAGGTTATGATCCTTATTATAGAACTTGTTGTAATGGTACACTCAACAACGGACAGAAACTTCATTGTTGTGGAAAAGAAGGTTATGATACTTATTATAGAACCTGCTGTGATGGTACACTGAACGATGGACAGAAACTACAATGCTGTGGCACGGAAGGCTATGATCCCTATTATAGAAGCTGCTGCAACGGCAAAGTCAGTAGTAAAAATGGTGCAGGGTGTGGAAAATAGAACATCATACAGAATTACATGAATGAACATTAACGCAAATTTGAAAATAACATGATCTAATCTTTATTTTAAATGTTCGTTATTTTCACAGTTTGCTGTGTTCATGTCTATTAAAGCATCTTTTCTGCAAGTTATTTCATCTTATTCAATTATTTATCTACAGTTGCTTTTTAGATTTCTGTTAAATTCATAGCTTCCACTATATCAGACATCTGTGAAGCGATAAGAGTTAGAAGATATTTCAAGTTTCTGTAATTCTTTATCCAAATAAGGTAACTTTCTTTCTGAGTATAGTTATTTAAAAGAACATTGTCAATAAAGTGAGAACAAAAATGAAATATTTCATTTGTAAACTACTGGGGGCTGGTGATAATGTATACATAAAAATGACGCTAATTATGTTTTAATTAAAAGTGCATATTATATTCGGCTCGTATTCTTTGACGTAATAGAACAACCATGAAATCGAATAAGACGATTGAGCATTTCGATAATTCCCATTGATGATAAAAGAGCCGATCTCAATCTATAGACCTGTACGTTCACCAATAGTAGAAATCAGATCTACAAAACTGATAGAAGATTATGATTGCTTGAAACGTTCGACCATAAATGATTCACAGGCAAAATCAATAGGAACATAAGTATTCGGAATTTCTGTTCACCATGATTCCTCCCTATTCTCTGATAATGGTACATTTAACGAATTTACAAACTCTTTAATATCATCTATTATCCATGAACGTGGTGCAGTAAGTGACGAAAATCTTGTATTAAACTTTGTTGATGTACAATTACGTATTTCATTGGAACAATAAAGATCTCTAAGTTCTACACTGAGTTGAAATCGATCAGCTGCTTCATTGTAACATAAATCAGTTGCATTGCATAGAGCTATCGTAGTAATTGGTTCAGTACTATTATTTAAAACAATATATTTTATAATTCAGAAATCTGGATTGACGCATTTGCATGTAAGATATCTAGAAGAAAAAAAGTAACAAATACTAAACAAGTAGCGCTCATCCATTGGATTCGCTAACCCTTTTCTGAAAGAATTTAAAAAGTAGTAGATAAAAACTCATTTGGATTTCAACTAAGCGACTTCGAGTTGAAGTCATATTTATGCATATTATTTCCTTTTAATCCTTTTCTACTTTATTCATGAGAAATTACTTTGAATCCATGTGTTCAAAGATATAAGCAAAGGAAACAATGTTTGTAAACATTTATTCATCGATTATCTTCCGACTATTCAAAATAAAAATCGATTTAGTTTCGCTTAGGGGCGCATTTAATTGAGCGACAATCATGTGACCGACAAGTACACTTGGCCGACAAATCATTTAACAGACACAGGCTTGAAGTCAAAAGAATTCAAATTTCTCGAAAATAAGGGTGGGCGATAGTGATCTGCATCAGCGGCTTTTCCTATTTCAGATCCAACTCCACATAAAACTGCACGAAACTCCATTTTCTGGATAATCTATTTTCTGCTGACATCTTTGTAATTTTCGCGACTGGAATGAGTTTTCGTAAAATAAGCCAGTGAACGAATCGAAATGGTCTATCTTTTCTTTATGTACACTCAGTATTTACTCTTACTGTTAACATATTGATCGTTGGAGAAACGATGTGCAGTAAAATGTTGACAAAAAAAGAGCTTGAACAACTAATAGATGCTGGTGATGAATCGGTAAAATTTGTTCGAAAGAAAACAACAGCAAAGTCTAGTGATTGATGCCAGTATTACGTTCATATTTTTGTCGACAATCATCAACAGCAGTTTGTATCGTGTAGGTCATGCGAAACGTTATTATTTGTTACATCTACAAGTGGTACAAATACTTTGAAATATCATTTCAGTTCATGTCCAGAACGAAAAGATAAATTAACGGGTTCTTGTCAAATAAAAGCCCATGAGTTTTACTCTTCATCAAAAGAAGAAACAATTCCCACAAGAATCAAACAACGTATTACAAAAGCTTGCACTGAGTTCTGTGCTCTAGATGGTCGAGCGTTTGATTTGATAACCGGTAATGAGTTTCAGAACCTTACAAAAGTTTTATGCGATGCTGGTCGTTCATTATATAAATCATTATTCAAAATCAATGATCATCTTCCACATTCATCGACAGCAGGGATGATATGCAAAGATGAATTAATCGAATTATTCAATATTTATTAAGATAAGTCGAAATGTTACGTGTCTTTATGAAGAATATAAATTACATCTAGTGAACATTTGTGAGCAATTGAAGAGCTTTTGTCTAGTAATTGATCAATGGACAGAAACCTATACCGGCAAGATTTTTGAACATCTATTTGTCATTGAAAGAGCTAGAACTTGTTTCATTCGTGTTTTCTACATATATTTAGGCATCAGTTATTGTAGTATTGCCATTCGACATGTAGATAGTGACTTTCAATTATTTAATTTTATACTTGGATGTTTTCCATATGATGCAGAGATTTATTCTGTATCACATCTTCGAGAATTTATTATTAAACGAGTAGAAGAGCTTAAATTACAACTGGACCCAGAGAAATATGCTGTGTCCGATAATGAACCTAAAATGATCGCAACATTTCATGATTGTTGCATTCGCATAGAGTGTGCTGATCATTATCTCAATAAACAAATGCAACATGCATTCGAATCAGAAAAAATATATGTTGCGAAAAACGTCTTTGAAAACGTTGACTCTGACATGGCACAGAATCTTTTTAATCAAGTTAAGAAAATTGTTGGACATATAGGATGCTCACATCAACAGCAAATTTTATCTAAGAAATTGATCTCTTACAGTGATACTCGATTCAATAGTGGCTTAATAATGAATAATTTTCGTGAACTTTTCGTTGAAATACCATTGGCGTTGATCGATAGCAATCTCATTACCAATTACAACTTGGTTGACAAAGACCTTCTCGACAGCATTTGCACGTTTCTTAATCCCTTCGAGGAAATGATTGAAAGTTTGAGTGAGGATCGGCGTCCTACTCTTCATCGAGTGATCCCACTTCGACAATATGTGATAAATACATGTAAAATGAAGGAAAATGATTGCAGTGGCATAGCGCAATTGAAAGTATTTTTCGGTAAGAAAAAGAATCACCAAACTTATCAATGGAAAGCGTACAAGTTTTCTTTCGTGCATTTTATGTTATTATATATTTCCATTTATCAAATTTTAGCACGTCATTTGAACAACTCTTGGCCAATTACAGACGAACATCGATTAGCAGTCATATTGTGTCCAAAGTTGAAGAATTTTGAATGCTCGCCAAAAGAGCAGGAGAAGTCAATCAATGTTTTGAAACAAGAATTTGCAAATCAGTCAATTATTTATTCTGGTACAAAATTATCAAACATATCTGATATCGATGTTAAATCTTCTTCGACATCATTGAAACGGAAAAACCTGTCAGCACAATGTTTTGATGCAAAAGTTCACTCAGTTAATAGACGAAATCAACTTCAAGAAGTCGATGATATGGATAATTTGTTGTTCTGGAAAGAACAACAAAAATCGTTCCCGATTTTATCAGAATTAGCTCGTAAGATTTCTGCAATACCAGCATCTAATACAATTGTTGAGCAGGTATTTTCCTCATCGAAAACTACTGTAACAGAAAACCAAACGCGTTTAGGAACGAGCTAATCAGCAAAAGTGCCCGAAAACGAACATTATCTAAGTCATCAACAACGACAGCATCTTCTGGAGATTCTACTTGTGTCCCAGTCAAACAACAGCCATTTGATGCGGAAAACAATTAAAATGATCTTGATGACTTGGACGGACTTTTGGATTGATTGATTTGCTCTTTTTCTGGTATGTGATGTAGTGAGGATCAATGTCACGGTTTGTAATTTCTGGAAGTGGGTGAGGGTGATGAATTCAAGCGTTTTCTCTCCGTTTAGTTATCATCACGTGTCTCATTGTTTAGCGATTATTCCTAATGATATTATCTCACCTTTTCTCTGTCTGTGATTATCTTGTGTCTCCTCTGGATTTCTCTCTCTCACTGCCCAGGGTTTATCTCATTGCTGCGAGCAATATCATGTGAATCTCTTTGTCTATCTGTTACTGCATGTCGTCGCCTATAAAAGGCAACGTTTCGATTTGTAATAGGCAGTAGCTGTGTGATCTTGACTTATCCATCTGTTCGACGGACTCTCTTACCCCCCACCTTCTCCGGGCGCTCATTCTTTGTATTAACGATTGTTCAATCGATTGTTTTGACTTCAAGACTGTCGAGGAAATGAGTTGTCGACCAAGTGAACCAGGCCATTCGCTTATTTTATCTTCTCTAAGCTTCCTAAATAAACGCCTAGCCGTCCCCATGCGTACTCGTTTTACTATCTTAACTTCATTTGAACGAAGATGTTATACAGAAATGAGGTCATTTTAGAAAATCAATTCATAATTGAAAGCTTACAAACTTTACATAAGTATATCATTTTCTGCAAACAGGTTTAATTCTTCTCTTCACCACAAAGAACTTTAAAGAGCTGCCAGATATTATCTTGGAGATCAACGATTAAGTTCTACATCCAAGAAATCTTAAAAATTATATGAAAACCACGAAAATCTGTTCTTTAAAATATTATGCTTCAAATCGACGATTGATCGCTGGTCGGCCACTCACTGCTCGCTGCTAGTCGTTACATATACATTTTCGCTCTTTCATCTAATTTAGAACCACTTTCCAAACTAATCAATCCATTTCCTTTTAGTCCTTCTTAAAAAGTCACCACCTTTGTTTTATTATGACTATCGAAAACAACACTTGGCAAAGGAAACATTATTTTGACTAACTTGCATCAGATGATATTCCTACAATATAGCTGTCTATACAAGTGTGTGACCTCAATAATATGCTGATAACTATGGCGATCCAGCAATCGGACGCCAGTTAGCTATAAGATTTTGTTCTACATATTACCGCTTAAAACACTATCGGCTACAAAAGTTGATCCTGTGTCGCAAAAAAGGAGACAGAAAGCTTTTATGAAAAGAACTAACCTCGGATTTGAGCTTCCCGACTTAGATTACCGTTCGGTCAACCCTTACTGCGTACACTAATAATTCATCCATAATTAGCCTGAAGATAGCTAATAGTTAATAATTAGTGAAAACTTATCCCAGAGTCTAGTTCCTCGACCTCGATTATTTATCTAGTAGCCGGTTTCTAGCTGGTAAGGGTAGATTTCGATGATTTAAGAAATCTTTATTTCTGATTGGCTTGTACCAACAAGCTTATACCGATTTTTAACTCGACTATAACCATTGCTTTCAGAAAGGGAATAACTATGAAAGCTAAGCTGATTGAGAAAAGTCGGTTTAATTACAAAGACAGCGGATATTTGAAAATCTTCCTGGTGCGCTTAGAAATAATACGGCGCGATGGCCCCTTGTCCTCTACTAAACGTAGTATCAGCTCCTCTGCGTTTCTCAACAGTGATGAATAAAATCTATTGCATTGAAATGATCTATCTATCTCATAATTTGTCTCTCTTTCACTCATACTCATTTCATTTGCTAAAACTCTTCTCATACAAACGCCTAGTCGTTCCCATGATTATCCCTACTATGCCTTTCACTTTTGATTAATTCTCAAAGTGACTGACTACGTTTCCCGTCATTCTGGCTTCTAAATTAGAGACTCGTCATGCATTTGATTACCAAAAGAAACTAGAAAGAGACTTTTATCTTATGATTTGGCTTTTAAAGAGCATCCATCATAGTGCCTGATATGCTCAAATTAGTATCTCCCTAGGCATTGTCCCTATAAGTAATAATATAGAACTACACTGACGGCCATACTTTTGGAGACCTACTTCCGCTAAAGTCCTATCGAAAGACAGCATGTGTCGCAGCGTGAAAAAAAATTATATTAACTTCATACTATTTCTTCTGATATCTTAAATTGCAAATATCATCTTGTGAGATATACTAAAGTCTTTCGATGCAAATGTCTAAACAACTATCTTCGCACACATCTTATGGCAGAGATGGGCAAGTCAAGTCCAAAACTGTATAGATATATCCAAGTATTTTATGCAATTTAGTATTAATTTTAAGCCTAAGAGTATCAAAAAATTTTAATTAAGAATCTTAGAAGAACTCATGTAGTGAACTGACGCCAAATATGGGAAGTCAACTCGATTTTGGTCTTGACTCAAACCAAGTCAAGTTATTTGTGACTCGGCTTGACCTATGACTTGAATTCGAAGATTTTTATATGTGACTTGACTTGGATCAAAAAGCTGATGCCTTGCACATGTCTGTCTTATGGTGACCAGCCAAGATTATCCTTTTCTTTTTCGTTCTTCTGATACACTCATGCAGAAAGACGAAAAACAAAAGGACATTCTCGGTTGTATACCATCATACCCAGCCATAGTGCTTAACCTACTATCTCCTACACAAGAATTTAGAAATGATTCAGAAACATATCTGTTTTCAAAAGAGAAAGGAAGAAGCCGCACCTCAACGAATAAAGAAAAGCTAACAGCGGATTCGGGATCCCCGATTTCGGTTACCTTTCGGTCGACCCTCACTCGGCAACAAAAAAATTTTTATTTTCCTAATTAGTAATTAACTAATTTAGATCTCCGACCTCCGTTGCCTCGGTAGTAGTCACTTTCTGGTTTTTATCGGTAATTTTCATTGACTTACGAAACGCTGCTCTCTGATTTGATAGGACAAACAGACAGACAAACTTTAAGCTTTTCGAGCCATGCATTTAATCGCTGTATAACCCTTTCTTTCACACAAGGGAATAAAATAAAAAGAATTGTGTGCCAAAAGCCATCACCAATTACAAAGGTATTTACCATCAAACAGTACACTTTTTCGCATGTAAAGCACACAGTTACGAAATAGTAGTTATGTTTCAATATTCTTTTTCATAGAAAAATCCATTATCACACACAGCCAACTAATGCAACTGCAAAAACCATACTTCTATAGATAAAAAACTGTAAAAAGTTTTCACAACGGAGTTAAATTTGTTTTCTACGCTTGTAATTTTCATTTATGCAACTGTAGCAAGTTTCTGTCTATTTGCTTTAATCAACGCTTTCTATTAATATCTTATTCTTGAAATTTTATGCATTGTCGCTATTTCTATTAATCTCAAAATATTTGCCAAAAATACACAGTATCCAATTCTACAGAGTTTCGAAGCAATGTACAAATCAGCCATGTTTGATCAAACTATAATGGTGAACTATATTACAAAGGAGACACGATACAAACCATGAGGAAATTTTAAAAAACGAATATTAAGTATAAATAGCAAGAGTCATCGGTATTCTTGATAGTCTAAAAGGCTTTATGACCATAAGAATATGATATGTTCAGTTCCAAGACTATTTTCATTTCCTGCCATCGTTGCATTTCTCTAAAAATCCTTGTTTGTGACAGTGTACCAAACAGGAGGACTCCAATTCAACAATATTCAACCAATAATTTCACCGTTGCCTAATATCTTCTACCTATCAGTAGTGCTATATCTAAGAATTAACTTGTTCACTTATTCCATTATAAAATAAACTAACCTCAGATTCGAGATCCTCGACCTCGATCACCTCATCAGTAGTCAATCTTTGATGACTATAGACAAGTTTCATTGATTTATAATATGCTGCAATCTGATTGGATTATGCAAACAAGCAAACTTTTTGCATTTCAACGACCAGATTTATGACGCTATAACCCTTTCTTTCAGTCGAGAGCACCAGTAAGAAATCAAGGTATCAATAGTACATTATCACTTCTCTACCATAGTCCAAGGGAGATTGGAGGGACTCATGCGATAGGCGCCTTTATAGAATCTAAGTAATATATCCCTTCCCAACGACACAACTTTCTTTCCTAACGGATTCGAAAAAAATTTTTTTTGGCCTTGGATCCCGAGGAGGAGTGCACCCCTAACCCCATCCTACCGAATTACCAACATCCACCCTTAACATCCCTCTCAAACAATATTTTACGAAGTTTTGAGCGCTTTAGAGGAAAGTATTCTTTTTACCTTTGATCCTCACACCCTAGTTGGAAAAGTGTCAATTCATCAAATTTTTTTGTTTTCTTTTTTAGTCCTACGTTTTATAGATTCAATAGCTATTTTCTAATAGACATTCTCCTCAATAATCAGATTCAATTATTGTTAATCAACTATTTAATAATGTCAGCCGTGTATTTGGGAACACCGCCACGTTGCACACGTCAATTTTGATTTAAAAAATGTTTCTTATCATGCAGATGCTGATTTGTCATGCGCTCTAAATAAATTTTATTTTAATTCGCTAAGAATGATGTCATTATGACATTGAAGATGCTAACGAATGATTTCCTTGTCTGTTTCATGAAGCACGTCGAAAAGACTATTTTCGTTTTACCGGTTAACTAACTTTGTTAATTTTACATAACACAGTGCTTAGTGATATGTTTCTTTTGCGAGGAATATAACAATAGCCAATTTAACGTCTTTATTTAAATAACATAATGTTCATATCTGACAGTTTATTGGATGTCTAGTAACCATCATAGTTGAGTAGAATTAACGAGTACATATTCTTAAAAAAAACCGAATTTTCCGACTGTCAACTATCGACAAAAAATTAATTTGTGCAAGGTTGTTTTGAATACAGCTG